GCCTTCTTTCCATAGAGTGAGTTTACAAATATAAACCAGTATGTTGTTAGTGGTCTTAAGGAAAATGCCAGTTACATCAGTATGCATTTGTTTTCGTAGAGATGCCCTATTGCTGCTATTTAAAAGCAAGGAGGACTGAATTATAACTAAATGATTGTGGTCAAATACACTGAGCTATTTCTATAGAGTAGGACTTTCCAAAGTACCAGACTGAACGTCATGCTTATCACTTTAAGTAACACCCTTGTAAGAATTCATCTGGGTTTCCCAGTGACAATGTTTTTTTATTTTTGAAATCATATGAGTCTACCTGTATGTTGGCTTTCTTTTACTGATGACCAGTCTCCTAGGTAATGCTCTGTGAAGAGCACACCTCAAAATGTTTGTGCCATGTTGAAGAAGCAGCAGGTGGATAAACTTTAAGGACTCCTTGGTTGTCTGTTTTAAAAGCCTCCACAAACACTCAGGTAGGGCTTGCCTCTCTCCTATGTTACTAGAGGGACTATGGTAAGACTGGCCAAGAAAATCAGCCTTTGACTCAGTATTTTCTGTTGCCAAGTTTGCTTTTCTAAATTAGTACCCCATGTATTGTATTGGAACAGGGAATGTAGAATATATTCACTTAAAACTACGGAAGTTTCTGTCTGTTTGTCCTAAGGGGTGGATCTGACTTTTACACTAATGACCTTCTGGTCTGTTTATTAAATACTGCCCATGACTTTTTATTTAATTAATTCAAGCACATTATTCTTCTACAGGTCCATTAAAGTAAAAAATTCAGTGCGCCTTCAGCAGAAAGGTTATTTGTGGTGTCAGGGAGATCAATGCAAGATACCTATTAGCAGATTAAATTTTTGTTTATACTTGAGGTTTTCTTCATTACTGTATTTGTTTTAAGGTTTTGGCTCTAATGAGCATATAGTGAGTAATGGAAAAGTAAGAATACCAAGTCTCTTTTGGATATACATGTACATGTGAAATGCTTCATTGGGTATAAATTGAGTAGAAGAACATGCATGGGAAGTCTTTCAAGTGTCATCATCTGGGATACGTAATCTTTTGCATGTTCTTAGTATCTAGCAGTCTGGAAACTAATGTGGTTGTCTTGGAAACAGGCTTTTTTTTTCCTTTTGCGAATATCTAGATGTGAAATCATTGTCTTCCTTGAAAATCTAGAGGTAATACTTCTGAAAGAAATAACTGCAAATTTAAGATGCTTGTCCTCTATTTAAAGAATTGATATGGGAGTCTGTAAGTGATGTTTGCATTGTGTGCTTTAATTACAGTTGTGTGATTATATTGCTAAAACAGTCTTTAGGGTTTTTTTAGGTAAAATGCCTGTACTTAGTGTTGATATTTGTCTGGGAATTATCTGCAGTGAAGCATTTTGACAAGATGTCCTAGCTTAATATTTAAATAGAAATATTATGGTATAACTCTTGCATTGAGGAAGTTAAGTTCTCATACTGATACTATCACTTCCAGTCTTTTCCCTTGCCCTGCTTTAAATTAACAGTGTCTGATAAAACCTTGAATATTCTGTGAGATTGTAACATAATATTTGCCAGACAAAACATCAGCAGTAGACAAAAGCGCACAGGACAGCTTTTTTATTAGCCAAAGAGCTGCCATGCACAGCATAAAATGCCAAAGCAAAATGAAACAGTGAAGAAATAACCATCTTTCAAATTGCTGAGGATTTATTAGGATTTGTATGAAAATATGAAATAATGTTCTTGAAGTTTATAACTTTTCTGGTCTGTAGCTTATTTGACCAGTCACAGCAGTCTTAGAGTTTAGTATTAGTAACAGTGTAATTTCATCATCATTTTTACAGATGAAGGTCCAGACTGAATAATTTTCCATGTTTTCTTCTTAAATTGTTAACTGTATTAAGTTCTAATGGGATTTTTAATATATTTCTATTCCAAGTATTTTTGTCTCCAGTACCAGACTCTTCAAAGAGAGTCTAAAGGACTCTCAAATACTGATATGTACTTCCGAGAAGATTTTTTTTTTCAATTCTTTCATAAAAGAAGTCCTTTTTTCGGTGGAGCTCACACTTTCAATGATACAACCTGTCCAAGGGAAGAGAACCATGACAGGATCTTGTCGAGCCATTGAAACCCATTTGTGTGACCATTTATTTTCGTTCTACCTCCCGTCTCTTCCTCCTGCCCCATTCCTTGTGCTGCATCTACATTTCAGATTGATCTCTCTTTTCAGAACTTATTTTTTCTTAAATGTTGTTTTTTGTTCAAGTGTGTTCCAATTTTTTTTCCTTTCTTCTTCCCTAGAATGAGCTCAAGCTTTCTATTTAAGGCCTGAGATGAAGCTTACTAACGTAAGTGGAGAGGATCTTAAAGACTATGTTTGTTACCAGATCATGCAAAAAGCTTTTAGTGACCTAGATTTTGGCCCTTATGTACAATACTGATGTAAGTATTGTGCATCCAGAAGAAAAATAATTAATCACAGCTTGTTTTTCCACAAATGACAGTGAAGCCACTCTGATGTACTGTAATGCTGTTGTGCTCCATTTTGGACTTAATAGCATTTATATTTATTTACCTTGACAGTCAGGCGACAAACTTCCCACTTTCACCTCAAATTATGATCTCACAAACCTTACATGAAAAAAGGACATTAAAATGACATGTTATTTAAGCTACAAGCAAAGCTGAGTTAGTCCTTGAACTTTTTTCACATTCCTCTAAATAAATGTAATTTCTTCCAGTTTAACAATATTAGTAAACTGTATTCAAAAAAGTAGCCCATTTTATACCTTCCTGATCAAATAATAATTCTCCATGATTATTACTAAGTATTACTTAATTACATTCCCTGGCTCCTTTTTAGCTGAACAATTTTTCATTCTCTCTTTCCAAACTGCAAACCAGCAAGCAACCGAAAAAAGAAATCCCCTTATTTGGTAACAGTTCTGTATAGTTACAGTATGAGCATCATTTACGGTTGGACTTGATGATCTTAAAGGTCTTTTCCAACCAAATGATTCTAAATGGTTCTGTGAAATTTGGTCGATAATCACATATTCTAGCATCCTTCCTGAATCTCCTGGCAAAACATGATATTGTTAAAGTTCTCCTTTCAGATTAACTTCTATAAAACTTTGAAGTTTTCTGGTTGTTCCCATTCTTTATGATCCAGTGGTTTTGTCCTGGAGAAATGTTTTACCTCTGTGTGTTGTAATTAGAAATAGTGACATCGTCTTTCATCCCCAGAAATTAAAATATACATAATTAGAAGTTTTCTAAGGATAAAAAGGAATAGATTTTTTTTTTCCCCATCACGTGTTTCACTTTAGGATGTTGCTGAGTCTGATTTCAGCAGCATTACCCAAAGATAAAACAAACTCCAGGGGAGAGATTACAGATTCATTCAAGGAGAAATGTTTTTTTTTTTACCTTTTTTAATTAAAAAATCACAAAATAAAACAACTAATGAACACTTTACTTTTACCATAAGAAAGGAAAGAAGTTGATTGAAGCCCTTCATCTATAGCTGGCAAGAGACATAGCTACTTTCACAACGATGAGACCCACATCTCTTCCTGGAGGGCAGTGTATCCAGTCATCACATCATGTTTAAGACAGAAGTTTCTCTTTCCAATGCTCAGCACAAAGACAACCTACATCTCTAGCTTCACTTAGACATGCAATGTTTAGATGTAGACAATCCCATCACAAGTGCTAGGCTGTCCCCTTGGCTTGAAATGGCCTCACAAATCTTTCCATCTAATAATGGACTAAAATACAAAATAGCTTATCCAAGCACACAGCTTGTTTTTAGAGCTCCTCATTAATTACAATTGTGTATATTTGTTAGAAAAGGGAGGGTTTTATTTCAGCTGCATTGTTTTTTCTTTGGTGGTAGGAGATGTATCCCGCTGTGAGATGGGTTTTCCATACTTGAAGGGTACTTGAGGAACCTGTTTGGCCTCTAGCAAACCGTGTCATTTTTGTATCTTTTGTGTTTTGCATTTGTGATTACATGAATTCTGTTTATGTGCTGCTTTGCTGTCCCTGTTTTCTTCCGTTTCTAGAGTGCCACCGTTGTGGCTGCCTCAGCAGAGGAGCAGGGACAGTGCCAGTGAGTTACCAACTCTGGTTTAGCCCCCCTCTGGTTTTTTTTTTCCCTTTGGCGATTCCTCAGCTGCCCTGCTCAAGAAGTGGTGATGCACAGGGGAAGAACAGGGATCTCTTCCTGGGAGAAATGCAATTTGCACTGTTGCTGGATTAGAAAAAAATGCTTTTAAAAAAACGTATTTTTGTTCTTTCACATAATCTGAAGTTTTCAAAAATTTGTATGAAAATGTGCTTTCCTTTAATTTCTGAGGAGTGTTTTTTTTTTAATAGAGTGTTTTGGCTTTAATAAAAATAAAGTACTCTTTCTGATACACTTTTTGATTCTTACTTACGTGCTTAAAGTTTCAACATAGATTGGTCATATAAGCTACTCGGTCCATTTTTTAAGTATTCATGTTTTTATACATAGCAAACCTCTAATTAAAATGTATCTATTAAATATGCTACATCCTAGCTTCTGCTTAACTGAACCCTTCTATTATTAATGGAAAGTATCAAGGATGGCTAAAATTTGAAATGCAACAGAAATGGCAGATTTTTTATCTTGTTTAAGGCATCTTATTCTTTATGTCTAAGAGCTGTCAGAAGGTGGTAAACAGATCTCAGAACAGCAGCATTTATAACCAAATTGCTCTCATGAAATATAGATAAATCATTCAGCAGAAGAGCTAATGAAAACGGTAGCCTATAGCATAGCCACTGGTATCCTGTCCATTAGCAACCCTGGTGCTTCACTCAAGCCAAAGACCTTGAGTTTACAGAATGTGAATTTGAGTATTAATTTGAGCAACAGATGTATGTGTGTGAATGCAAAGAGGATTAGAATATTATTTAAGTAATACCTCAAGATAAGCAGTGGTGAACACAGGACTTGAAGAACATTTGCTTGCTTACCTCCGTTGTTGCAGGCTTTGCTGGCTGCAGCACTGTCTTGGGTTTCTGCAGCTATGGCTACGTTACTGCAAACCTCCTTGTTGAAGGGCTGTTCTGTGGCTTTCTTTAACATGTCTATGCTGGGGAAATCTACCTGCTTTTGAAACCAGAAAACTTAGCGTTACTTCGCACAACTCTGCCTCTCTTAGTAGATACTAAACATTTTGTTGATGGATTCTGTGCTGTGACATTGGTAATGAAGATGCTAGAACAAGAAAACATGAGAAAAACCATTGGTTTCTATCACAAATAAGCTTGTTGCTAGTTTTTTCCTGTATATGCCTGTGAAATTTATAGTGTAACTGTATTTTTATGATAATCAACCTGTTTGTAATGCTTTATTTAACTAGAGCACGGTGCCGTTTAGAGGCCTTACTGTTGACTCGAAATGTGAGCACTGTCTGCTTCACTGGAGCTGGAGTGTTCATGGATGAAACATTTGGCCTCATTGAATATTGGTGTTTTCCAGGGTGACATGTAAAGTCCTATAGCATTTTCAGGAAGAGATGCATCTTTGAGATTTCCCTCCTGTGCTCACAATAAGGTCAATAATTTTTTTTTTTCTTTTTGCAAAACCACTCAGCAGTAACCACTCACCTTTCAGGCTTTTGGCAGGAGCAGTGTTAAGCCGGTGCTGAATGTGTGTGCAAGTTCCTCCTGCTAAGAGTTGCCTCTGTTTTGCTGTTACACATGTGATGGATGCTCAGGTGATTTAAATGCCAGAAAAGAAAGCTGTTTTTTCACCTTCTGTCAAGACTTGCAGTATTCCCCAGAGGTCCGCTGCTATGCTGGGTACCTCAAATGAAATTCCCATCTTCATTCTGTTGCTTTTTTCCCAGAAATTACTATTTTAATTTTCCATGTAAGAAACTCTGATAATGCCAGCCATATGTCTTTACCTGATATCATTCAAATACCATTTGATGGGCATTTTCAAAAGCAGGAGGAAGGCATACTCACCACCCTTTATAGTATATTGACTTTTTTTTAAGTCATCATGGTGTGTCCTTTACAAAAACAAAGGTGGTTTGAAATTGTCTGATAACACATTGGTCCTGTTAGAGGATGTGTGACTTCACAAAGCTGTTTATTCAGGTAATTTCTTCAATAGTAATTGTATTTTATACAATTTTTAAAATGTTTATGGGCTATTTTAAGTGGCCTTATAGGGTAAAATATAGGTTGTTAACGGCTGTGTGCAAGTGTATGAAAATACCCACTGAAATTGTGTATTAAGCTGAGCTTAAGTGTGGTAGAATTTTCCTGGGTTTGTTATTACATTTCTGCCTATACTTACAGCTTCAGTTAAAATATATGAAGATGCTCTGGAATTTCATGAGGTGTATCTCCCATTTAAAAATCACTTCTATAAACATTTTGTCTTTTGCAGATACTCAATTAATTTAACAAAGAAAATAGTTTTGTAGTAAAAATACAGTAAATTGGTTGCATAAAATAAGTCATTCAGCATATCTCTGCACAATAATAAGAACAGGTTGTTCCTTGCTGTGCTGTTTGTTCACAGTTGTTTCTTTGTGCTACTGTTCTAGCAGCATGTGTTTGATTTTGCTCCTAGCAAAAAAGCTTCTCCTTAGCAGCAGAAGAGTTTGAAATGCTGCAATTTTAAGTTAACTTCCAGGGAGCGATGAGGGTGGCCTGTCAGGTCATGCTTGGTTTTTTGATGTCGCCCTCAGAAAAATCAATTTAAAGTATTTTGATAGTGTTTTTCAGTGCCTGACTGTGCCCTGTTTGTTTAACGTGTCTCAGAGTAGTGGTTTCTGGTCTGGCCCTGGTAACGTTGTTGTTTGTCCGTGCTATCATTAATTTGACTGCAAGTGGAGATAGTCTTTTGGAATGGATGAATACATTGGCTTTATACTTTAACTGCGTAAGGGAGAGGAACATTTTAGACCTTTTTTAAAGAGAAAATCTGGCAAGAAAGTGAATCATACAGGTAGTTACTGTGAACAGACGTATCTATCCTGACTCTATCTAGATGAACCTTACAGGGATTTTTGGAGCGATTGTCTAAAATGTAGCATTGTACATGTTGAGGAGGATGCCAAAGAAAATAGAGATGATGATTACCGTTCTTCCCAGTGAAAATGGGCAAATGGGTTCTTAACCCATTTAATCTTACAATTAAATCATAAATGTCTATCAGCATTTTGTATTTACATATGAGATAAATGCCTATCAGCGTGCACTGAACCAGGTAGGAGTCTATACATCTGGCAGTGCGGGAGCGGGGCTTCTGGTTGTGTGGGTTTTGCTTTTGGTTTTGTATTAAATCCTTTCTCAACTTTGAAAACAACAAGGCTGACACCCTTTCTGTAATGTGTGGTATTTCAAAACCTCAAATGTCACCCATTCCCTTGCCCTTTTGATGAATTTGTGCATTCTGTGAATGCTTATGGATCAGAGAGCAGGGAAAACTGTCTATTTGCTTCAGTTAGTGAATTTAAATAAAAACCCCTGTGGTTATTGATTACTGCAAAGACTCGCCTTCTGTGTTTTTGTGGAAACCTCTTGGAGGTTCAAGTATTTAATCATGTCATAGGATTTTAAGAGAGCCAAATGGCTGGATTCAGCTTGCATGCTGTAGGCGCCAACGTGATCTATGGGCAGAACCAACATCTCTAAGGAGTGCATCAGAGCATTCAGGTGAGGCATCTGCCTCTCCACACTGGTGATACAGAGAGTTTCGGCGTGTCTCTGCGGTTGCACATACTGTTGGCAATGCAGGGACCTGGTTGGTCTGCCCCTTGGACTGCCATCCTCTGTTAAGACTGGGATGGACACTGGGAGGAGTGGGACCCTGAGGGTGTCTGCGATACGGACAGTCAGCATGCTGGGATTGAATACTGGATAAATCAGCTTTTTGATGGTAAATGGTCAGGAGAGGTTGTCTTGATTGGGACTTGATTCTGATCCACTTTGTTTCTGGTGGCAGTCATATATAAGGGGCAAAGGTTTTTACCATTCAACTGGTGGTCTCCATTTTGTTTGTTTTTCTCATGTAGGTGCTCAGAAAGTGTACAGCTGGTGCAGGCAGAGGATCAGTGCAGTAAGAGCTACTTTCAAAGAACCGATGAACCCACCTAAAACCCCCTAAGGTGCAGAGGTTGTCCCTGACTGACCTGCCCATGCTTTGACCATCTGTGCAAGAGAGGTGAGCACCCGTGTGAGCCCAGCTCTGCGAGGGTGCAGGTTTACTTGTCTTCCTTTTTGTGTCTCCTGTCTCTGGTTCTGTGAGCAGAGCACGAACCATAATTGGAATAAGATGCCCTTGAAAAATCTACCAGGGATTTGTGTCATAACTGACAAAGCAGTTTTGTTATGTTTGGAAGATGTAGTTATATGTAAAATAAAATGAAAGGCAGAAGCGAAGTAATTTTCCTTGTTTGGGAAAGCTAAGTAAGGGTTTGTTTCAGTTTTGCTGGTAGGGAAAATGACACTAGGAAATAGTTAAATTCTGTACCTATTAAGTTTTAATGAAAACTAGAGCATACGCAAACATGCTGCTCCTCCTTACTGTCTGAGACGGACTGCGATAATCATATTTTGCGACCAAAGGTATACTACTGAAAGAAGAAATGTTTGCTTGGTTTTTTGATTGGGGTTTTTTTTTTGGGGGGGTAGGGTTTTTTTTTCATTATTCTTTTAAACCTATTACTGAACTTTGGAGTTCAACTTATTGTTCAACTAAAGTTCATGTGCAGTTAGCAAAATGGCGCATTTTCTGCATAGAAGTCGAATCTTAAATTACAGAACTATGTACCAGCAAATTATGTAGTGCCTTTTAACAAATCACTGATCACATAATAACAGTATGAATTTCTGAGGGAACAGTAATGTGTTAAACGCTTCAATATCCTGAGCTTTTTTTGTTCCTCATCTGGCATCATGGGCAGAGAAAATGAGATACGCCATATAGTTGATCTTTTTCCAGCACTTTTGTAAAGGCTGAAACATATTTTCTTTGGTGCATCACTGCCTTTTAGTAAAATGAGGTGAGAAAGTTCCATTTTCTGTCATGAGCCAACCAAAACCCAGCGTGTTTTCAGGGTCCAATTTTGCATTTTTGTTCACATTACAAATTGATGTGAAACTGTAACTATTGAGGCTTTCTGGCATGTACAAAACATTTGTTCAGCTAGAAAATGAGTGGGGGAAAAAGAGCCAGTGGTGACATGTCCAGATGGGAGCATGTTGGAACGCTGCAAAGCAGAACACCTGGTGTCAAGGCATGGGGAAATACGGTCCATCGATGTGTGCCTGGATGCGGGGCATCTGAGAGAGTGGGTGTTGTGGCTTTGTCGAGGATCTGGATTCTTTTAACGCTGATGCTTTGTGAAATGTGATGCTTTGATGTTAGATTAGAAGAACTCTTTACCAGTAATTGATTTGATGTTTTTGGAAAAGATGATCTTCTAGTCAACAAAGTTTGTAAACTTGTAACCGGTCTTTAAGTGGGCTTGGGTTATTTCTAGGTACCATAGCCCATGCCTGTAGCAGTAGCCCCAGGCTGCTTCCAGGTGGTTGATCATTAGTGGTGGGGAGGACTTTTCTCCTACTGTAGAACCTGTGCTGGTAGGACATCGCATGGAGGGGTTATCACAGAATCATGGAATCATTTAGGTTGGAAAAGACCTTTAAGATCGTTAAGTCCAACCATTAACCTAACACTAAACCATGTCCCTAAGCACCACATCTACCTGTCTTTTAAATACCTCCAGGGATGGGGACTCCACCACTTCCCTGGGCAGCCCTTTCCAATGCTTGACTACCCTTTTGATGAAGAAATTCTTCCTAATGTCCAATCTAAACCTCCCCTGGCACAACTTGAGGCCATTTCCCCTTGTCCTATCACCTGTTACCTGGTTCTCAGGGTTCGTATATTTAGTCAGGTCTCTTGGTAAGACATGGAGACTTTCACATTGCTTGCTTTCAGTGTGGTTGCTGAATTACAAGCTGTGAATGTTGTTGTTTGGTATAATGAGGATTTCTTTTTTTGGAATTCAGAATCAATACTGACTGGATTGTTCATTCTGTGTAGAAATTTGAAGACAGAATGAGGTGGAGTAGTTGATGTGTAACACATCCGTGTGTTACTGGCCTGCTGACAGCTTCAGAGATCTCGTTTGTCCATCTGCCTTGATAAGAAATTCTGTAAATCATAAAGTTGAAGACTTTTTAACCTGTTAGCATTTTTTACCTTCTCTTCGCTGTTTGATTTTGCAGTCATCAGGAAAAAAACTCTAAACTGTATTTAGTTCCTTCTAAACCCTGGACCAACTCTACCACAGGGTAATCCCAGTGAGGTGTAGGATGACTGCACGGATTAACCGCAGTGTCACTGTTCCTGAGTGTGTATTTAATGTAAAAAGGGGAGAGGTGATGTGGGGAAGAACCTCAGTATTATGAAACTGTTGTTATTTTTCTGATTAGGTAACTTCAACTCAATGTTCTACCGCTACAGATCTCCCTATTAGAAATGAGGCATCAGTTTAGTTCAGAGTCTGTATTAATAAAAATTTACTTTTGTTTGCCCTGGTTTGTTTTATCTATCTATTTTCTTTAAATAGCCATGAATTAAGCTTTGCAGCAGGACTGGTGAGATCCTGCTGACTTTAGTGAGGCTTGACATGATCTGTAAACAATGTCGTGTGTTTATGTTAGTAAAGGTTGTTTTGAAATTTATTACATGCTGAGGAATAACACTTTTCCTTCTCACCCACTTCTCTGGAATTCTTAGACATACAGCTGAAGTAGTGGCCTTAGTAACTCTGCTGGTAATTGGATTAGCAATTCAGTATGCAATAATGGGGCTTCTTTCAGCTGAAAATTGGAAATTAAAATAATGCTTATATCTCATTGCTATAACCCTGTGCTTTTGAATACTCCTGATATTTGCTCCTTCATTTAAAAAAAAAAAAGTGTTACCATGTAACACAGTCATTCTTATTTATTCAGAATATAGTTTTTTTTTAGTTCAGTTTCTTAAATGATATTCAGAGTTGTGCTTAAAAATTTAAGGGTGCTTTAAAGGATACCTTACTAAAGTAGGAGAGAAGCCTATATTTTTCCAATAAAAATTAACTCTTGAAATTAATTGCTTAACTGTGGAGTTTGTTTTTAAGTTCCTCTTAAGAAAAAAGAAAGTTTAGGCTCCCTTCCAACCCAATGTTTAAATGTGTGCTTAATTTTTAAATGTCCGAGTGGGTTCACTGACTTCAGTAAGCACAGGCTCCTTGAGGCTAGTGACAAATTCACTCCCTACACCTTCTTTGAGAGCTGCTGCAGGGGGGCTGGTGCTGGGCAGAGGGAGCCAGGGAGTGGACGGGGTCCGTGCTGATGGGCTTTGAACACAGCGGTGTCAGTGGTAGCACCGCTAGCCAAATTAAATTTGCAGAACCACTGCCCTTGCAAAACCTTGAGTGTTGTCATTTAGAAAAGTCGTAATGGTCGAAGATTGCTCCAAAGTGGTGATAAAGCAGTTTTCCAACTATAAATGCTGTTATTTAAGTATAATTGGTCCAAATGCTTTTACGACAGGATTGAAAGTACGTCTGAACAAACTTACTTATGTTCAGAACAGTACAGAAAAGTGGTTATCCTTTTTTTTCCTTCAGGTAATGAGTACGCAATATGGAGGGATCCGTCCTTGAAGCCCCTTCTCATTCTCCCCTAACTTTTAATTTTGGTAACTAATTTCCTCCAAAGCTGACGGCGCGGCAGAAGTCTCACAGTTGCTGAATTCCTACCACCTTTGGAGCAGGCCAGGGCTGGGTGCAAATGACCTGATTAGTTCCCAGAAATGCAGAGTTAGGCAGAAAGGCTTTAGGACGCTGTCTAATTATAGATTGCTTTTTCTAACACATTTCTTCAAGAATGATACTTTTCCAAATGTCTAAGTTTAAAAAGTGAATCCTATTGATGTCCTGCTAGATAGAAAACATGTATTTTAATAGTTACAACTACATAAATATATTTGCTCTATAATTAAATTTTGTATTGTTTTCAGTAGTAGTACATGGTATGACAGAATTAAATTCATCTGTACAGATATGATATGCATTTTAAACTAGCTACTTAAAATTGGCTGTAGGTAACTGGAAATGTCTTAATAACTTTTTTTTTATAAAATGTGTATTTTTTTGTAATTTAGTGTTGATTAATAGACTGTTGTAGAAGGTTGAGTAAGAGTATGTTATTATGGTAAAACGGTATTAAAAAAAGTTGATCTGAATCCTGCATTTGTCATTTTTGTGACCTTTATATTCCTTCCTTATTAGAACTATGCAGCACTGATACAGCAACAAATTAATGAGGACAAAAAAAACTTGAGAGAAAAGACTGTGTATGGAATCCAGCTCACAGAAGAAAGACTTAATGACTTCCGTGATGAACAGATTGGGCAGCTGAAGGAACTGATGGATGAGGCTACCAAACCTAATAAAAAAATCACTGTTTCTAAAGACTCGGAACAGAAAACCTAAAAGGATTTAAAAATTGTTCTAATGCATATGGAAGCATTTTGAAACGTCCTTTTCCAGTTGGACTTAAATGTGGTTTCTGTGGAATAATGGGCCCTGCTGATGCCATGACTTGTCTGAAATGGATGTCTCTGGCTA